TTAAATGGAAGATATTTCAAAGTTAAAATTGTAAACAGCACGTTCAGGTATTGCTTCAAAAAAGAGAGAATGTTAGGCAGAATCAGAGCTTGGTGGAAAAACACAAATTCAAGATTGCAAGCAACATAGGAATTCCTTAGTTTTAAGTCACAATCTTTAATTTGAAATTAGAAACTCAAGAAAATTCAACAGGCGATGCTACATAACAGATAACCCGTGATCACCTATTCCCTTTTTGATGTCGACGTATCCATCCTTTTCTATTCTTTCTAAGAACTCTTTACCCAGGTGATCTTCAATACCTCTCTTGAGATCATAGCGGCCAGAAACATTGACCACAGCAGATATATCATGATATTTTGATGCATATAAGAGGACAACATAGCCACCTGCATTTCTCCCAGTAATAGGCAGAGAATCAACTGGTCAACAAAATGCACCCAAGCCGAATTTATAACTCAGGTCTAGAATGTAAATTTCCAGATATCACATCATGTTCTGATATGGCAGCACAAATTTTAAGAAAGATAAAATATAACTTTTACACAGAAAAAGGAAAAAAAAAAATACCGACCCCAACATCAACACGTTTCTAAACTAACTGTTTGGGCCAGAATGCCTGTTCCCATGTTAAGTTGCTTGTCATTACTAGCTATGTATTTCTTCAGAAAACATAATTAAGACATTTTTTTTATTTAGAAAATGCATATATATAAATGCACAAACATAGAAGTTGGAAAGTTATGCGGAAAAGTTTCGGATTTTTGAAAATAAGTTGGAAGGAAACATAAGTTACACAGCTATTAAAAAGGGTCACCAATTAGCTGAAATTGGTCATCTAGGTTACAGATCATTGCAATCTTGAACCAGACCAGAAACTGGGGAACAGGATATGTGTCGGCTAATTTTGACAATTCTTGACGTACTAATTGTGTAAGGAACTCTAGTTAGTTATATTGATGGATAAATGGAACACAATAAATATTTAGCTGTGAGTACAAGTTGGTGCACCTTTACTGTGCCCAAGAATTGCAACAACTGTACGGTTTGCTCCAGTAAAATATTCTATCACAGCTCGTAAATCTTCGGCTTCTCTAAAGAAGTTACCAGGCTGAAACAAACCTTCACTTTCCCTGGAAATCAACTACCAACATGAAGCCAAATATTGTAGAACAATATTATGCAATCCATAGCTTAAACCAATTCAGAAAGTTTTAGCACCAATCTAGGTTTTTCTTTGATAGCAATTATTTGTCATCGAACAAATTTCCAGCAGAAGTTTCAAACAATATCACGGATTCA